CTAGCCTTCTGCTTGTTCCTCGTGTCCTCCGTTCCACCACCCCGGCCGTGCTTTTTAGCCACTACGCCCCGAAACTCTGGAACACTCTCCCTTTATCCCTCCGCCTTGCCCCCTCCTTCTCCACCTTCAGGTTGCGCCTGAAGACCTTCCTTTTCAACCGTACTTACGGTCACCTCCCCCCCCCCCCCGGCTCGGCATCGTGCTCCACTATTGTTCAGGCGCTCCGAGACGCTAACCTGCGTTGTTGTTGGAAAGCGCAAATGCCTTTAGACTGTTTTTGAAAGTGGAGGAGAGTCGGAGAGTCTTTTGATAGAGATGGAGGGATTCTAGCGAGTGGCGTCATGGGTGGGTTTGGTACAGTACAGTACGCGGGCAGTTCAGTAACCCCACAAAGTGTTCGAGGACCTATTTTTTTTTCTGGTCCAGCGAAGGAAACGCAGTCTCTCACTTTGTATCTAATAAGCATTTCTGACCCTGGACTGTGGACATAAAGCCTCCAGCGGTGACCTTGTTAATTCTCTCGTCTGAATGACCCTGCGGAGTGGGAACAGGGAGTTCTTTTCCAGCTGCAATCTGTACAGCAAGGATAGTTTTTGGTGCGAAAAATGGATGTGAGCAGCATTTAACTCCCTCCCCCCCCCCCCCCACCACCACCACCGCCGCTTTGATCCGTGCAAAGTTAAGCATTGGGTGGATTCAGGACTAATAGTCGGGGGTGAGATTTCACAGATTGAGGGTTCAAGACTCCTTGATTCGCAATTTCAAAAAAAAATAATAATCCTTACATTTGATATAGCGTCGGATCGCATCATTGAGGCGTCTCAGAGCCTGCACAGGATATATGCTGTAAAGTGTAGTGACTCTGTATTCTGTGGGCGAAACACGGCGGTCAATTGCACACAGCAGCGTCCCACAAACACTCGTGGATTGAGTGACCAAATTTGCTAACACAGCAACGTCCCTCCACATAGCCATGAAATGAATGACCGATTTTATCTGGGGAATTGTAGGCCAGGAAACACACACAGAGAGAGACAGAGAGAGAGACTCTCTTCTCTTACTGCCTAAGCTTACTCTTAATATGCACCTGAACCCTGCGATCAGATTATAGCCAGTAATTCCCTCAAGTTTCTTTCTATATATAAACCACCTGAATCCAGAGATGGACCTCCAGCTGATCACAGCTCTCTAGGTAACACCAGCCTCCAGCTTTACCTTCTTAAAATGAAGTGATTGAGGAAGCAGCCGTGAGTCGTGTCCGTTGGATAATCGATGCGGGGCTTTAGGACTTAAATCGCCCCTCAACAGATGTTGATCCCAACCCGAGTAGGAAGGATGCTAACAGGGATGTTGTGCAATGACCCTGGTGTTGGAACAGTCTTGTGTTGTGTCAGAAGCCTGCTAGCTCCACATCAACCCCCTCTCTTTCCCAATAGTGTCTCTCAGTTAGTACAGTTTCTTAAATCTTTCATTTGGATCAGGCCAGCACACTCCAGCGTAGTGTTGCAAGAGCCCTCCGAGATGCTGCCCTGCGTGAAGGACGCTATATAAATAATAGTAATGATACATATATATCACGCTTTATCACGTCTTCAAGGCGACTCACGAAGCGCTTCACGCAATAATATACTGTAAAGTGTATTTTGTGAAGGTTTTTGTGCTGGGGAAGAGGGGGTGTGGGGAGCACGGTACGGTGCCTGATCCGCTTGACGTTAAACATCCTGCGACGTTAGAAAAGAGAAGGGAGCTAGTCTCTCTCTCTCTCTCTCTCTCTCTCTCTCTCTCGCAAGGTCCGAGCTGACATTCCGCCAGTTAAAATTGGTCGTTGACTTCATGGCTGTTTTTTAACTGTGTGCAAAATGGCTGTCGGGACGTGCCAACAAAGCACACAGTTGACAGCCTGCGAGGCCCTGTGAGATATTCTAGGCGCAGTGTTAAAAGGCAGGGTTTATGACGGGCCTGTTAACAGCTGCTGCCTTCAGGTAAGGACGGAGGGGGTGGGGGGGGAGAGAGAGAGAGAGACAGACACAGAGAATAGAAGCATCCATTTTAGATCCTCTGCTCAACCCAGCCCAGGGGCGTGAGGTGACGTGGACAGACTGAGCACGTGCCCCGTGCAACATATCTCGAATACCATCCCTGGCTGTGAATGGTGCACAGAGGGGTGGGACTGGCGCAGAGCCAGGTAACTAACTCTGGAGTCTGGTGCTTTAATGATCGACCTGTAGGAGCCGTGGTAAAGGGCGCTTCCTCAGCGCAGGGACGTTAACACGCTGATGTAAGGCAGCCCAGATAACCAAATGCTTAAAAGCGTTGCATTCCTGTATCATGGAGTCCTGTAGCGTCGCGGTTAGAGCGCTTGCCTCACGAGCGAGCGAGCGACAGCACCCGGGTTCGAATTTCTAGGCAGGACAAAAAGTTGCACACATTTCCTTATTGTACAGCGCTTTCACACGAAGGACGCTGCGTGAAAGTTATAAAGATGTTGGAAAGCAGTGCTCGCTGGTGGGGCGCGCTCTTACCTCGAAGTTGGGCTGTGTGGGACTTGAGGGAGGGGACTGTGCCCTAATGGGCAATGGACTGATGATGCTGGGGCGAGAACTGCATTGTCAGAGCTGCTGTCCTTTGGATGAGCCATTAACTTTCACACAGTTGACCTTAGCTACTTCACTGCATAGTCCACAGGAGACGGGATGAACAGGGTACGTTGTACTCAGTGACTTGTGTTCAGAAGTTTGAACCCTTTGGATTCGGGATTGGGCGGAGGTAAGAGAGAGATGATAATAATCTTCCATTTGAAACTGGCTTTCACGTCAGGAGGTTGTTTATCTCAAAGCGCTTCACATTATTTACCATAAAGGGTAGCGACTGCGTATTTTGTAGGCAAATGCTGCAGCCAATTTACGCAAAGCAACGTCCCACAAACAGCCAACCAAGTGATTGACTGAATTTTATCTCGGGGCAGTGGAGAGAGGGAAGATTGTGAGTCAGTATACCGGGGTGTGGTGGGAGGGTGAGACAGAAACTCCCTTCACTTTAAGGTCTCCCTGAATGTGGAGAGGAGAGTGAGAAGGAGGGAATGAGAAGGTTGTTCTGTGTACACAGAGGAGCTCTATGTGAATCCCGTGGCATGCATTAAAATGGAGGTGGGATGTGCCACTTTAATGCATGAATTCCTTAGGTTCCTACGATGGGATAGAATTTAAATCTGGATGCTGTACTCCACATTTATTAATAATAATTCTTGCATATGATATAGTGCCTAATCAGGTCTTCGAGGCGTCTCAAAGCCCTTCACAGAATACACTGTAAAGTGAATTGACTGTATTTTGTGGGCGAAACGCAGCAGCCGGTTGCACACAGCAGCGTCCCCACAGACGGTCGTGAATTGAGTGACCGGATTTATTTATTTTCGAAGGGATTATTACCCCCAGAAAAGCGATCCGCCAATCCGACTGACAACCAGGTCCCTACTTACTGATCGGTAAACCGAAGCGTGGGCGTGGAGTAGGGAAACTCGCCTGAGGCTTTGCCCTGCCTGGGATTTGAATCCGGGTCCTCCCGCTTCGGAGGCGAGTGCTCTAACCACTCCGTTTCTGAGCCTTCATCTCAGGTGTTTGGTTTGGAGAGCATGGGCAGCCCGGCTCCGTCTCACCTCTGAACCTGCCGCACAACCTTCTTTGAAGACTTTGAGCTCACAGTCTAGGCTGATTCCTCCAGGGAAACGCTGCATTGTCAGAGGTGCCATACTTCGGATGAGGCACTAAACCGAGCTCCCGTCTGCGCCGGTTTCCAGTGGGCGTTTAATCCTGTGATATTATTGAAAAGGCGAAGGGAGTTTCTCCCTTTCTTTCCACTTTCCAGGGCCAACAATCCTCCAGATTACTCATTCACCTCATGGAAGTTCATGAGGCTTTGCTCTCGACGTTTGCCTCACGCTGACTGCATTGGGCCGTAATTTCCTGTGAAACGCTTTGAGACACCCCAGACACGAGTTGCTTTCCTCGAGTGCTTTCGTAATGTGGGAGCCGCCGTCCTTTGGATGAGAAGTTAAAACTTGCTCCTCTTCTTCGCCTGATCAGGTGGATGTTAAAGATCCCGCGGGTAAAAAAAAAAGCGCAGGGAGTATATCTCTCTCTCTCTCTCTCTCTCTCTCTCTTGCGGTGTCCTGGCCGAGAATCCCCCGGATAAAATCGCTCGCTCATTTCGTTGCTGTTTGTGGGATGGTGTTGCTGTGCGCAAATTGGCAGCCGGGTTTGCCTACGCGTACAGAGTCTCGCTGAACTTTGCCATAACTGAAGTGAAGTGCTTTGAGGGGTCGTCTGCGCGTGCAAGGCGGCCTATCACATGCAGGGATTAATATTATTGTAAAACGTAACATCAATTTCGCAAGCAATCTTTACTTGCACCGTGAAGCAGTCTATGAGGGAGGAGAGAGAGAGAGAGACCGGTGTAATCTAGTACAGGATTAGTTTCACAGATTGGGTGTCAGTGGATTACAGCGATGCCTTTAACATTGGATCCCCTTTAAACTCGCACACAGGCTGTGTGGCCCAGTGTCCAAGCTGCGTTTGTGAGCCGCTCGCCCTTCCTTGCCTGGTGCCTTTCGCGTACCGGTTGAGCATCTTGAGAGACACCGGGGAGGGAGAGGCAGGCAGGCAGGCCGGCCGAGAAGGAGAATATCGGTTGTTAACCAAAAACGTGCGTAAGAGAGGGATTCAAAGGCAAAGGGCGGGCTGGGGGGAAAGGAAAGGGTTGAGGGAGAGAGAATTCCAGAGATAAGGCTATAGACCTGTAGCGTACTGGTTGGAGCATTCGCCTTGCAAGCGAGAGGCCCTGGCTCGATTCCCACGCAGTGCAAAATCTTAGGCAAGTTTCCTTACTCTGCATATATACGCCTCTCCTTGTGTCCTGGCTAACGATCTTTCTCCTTCCCCCTCATAAAGTTGATCACTCACTTTGTGGCCGTTTGTGGGACGTTGCTGTGCTCAAATTGGCTGCTCGGGTTGGCTACAAAATACAGTCACTACACTTTACAGTCCTGTGAAATGTGCCCTCGAAGCAAAGGCTGTTGTATGAAATAACGAGGATTATTCTTATTGCTGTATCCTGTCTGTGTCGCACGTCGGTGAGCAGTTGAACGACCCTTTTGAACGCAACGGAGCGGGTGTGTGCCTTGTCTCCCAATTTCTTTCCGACTTGGCAAGAGATTCCAAGTTGGAAACTCGGGAGCGAGACAGTCGGGATTCGTCACGCCGTGGTTTGGAAGAGAGTGGGAATCGGAAAGATCGTTGCATTGCGCTTCCCTTCTTCGTGCCTTTCCCCTTTGCGGAAAGCAATAGTCAGACAATACAGTAATCCTTGCCAGTTAGGGTTAGACACCTCAAAGCGCTTCACAGAATACGCTGACGTGAATTGACTTATTTTGCGGGCGAAACGCGGCGGCCAACTGCGCACAGCAGTCATGGATTGACCGGTCTTGGCTTGTCTGCCCGGTACATCCTCGAATGGCAGTATAGTTCGGCGTTCAGCTTGTGGGGACCTTTGGCTCCCCTCTCTCGCTTAAGACGATCCTACAGCCCTGCTGTAGATTATGTCGACCCGGACTTTCTACCTGGGGACGTTTTGTAGGCAAATGAGGCAGCCATTTTGTGCGCAGCAATTCGGCCATCCTCGAGTCCCGCACTGAAGCGTCGGCCGAGACTGTGCGCTCAAAGTTCCCGACTTGAATCGGGCTTCCAGGCAGCCTCTCCGCCCCCATCTTTTGGAACTCCCATCTCACAGTCTCTTCGCCTCGCTCCCTCCATCGCGTCCTTCCAGGCGAATCTCAAGACCCTCCTCTTTGACGGCGCCTTAGGTCACTTCCCTACCCCTACCCTCCCAGCCCCCCCCCACCTCCCCTGATCCCAGCCCCCCCCCACCTCCCCTGATCCCAGCCCCCCACCTCCCCTGATCCCGCCCCCCCACCACCCCTGATCCCAGCCCCCCCCACCTCCCCTGATCCCAGCCCCCCCCACCTCCCCTGATCCCCGCCCCCCCCACCTCCCCTGATCCCCGCCCCCCCACCTCTCCTGATCCCCGCCCCCCCACCTTCCCTGATCCCAGCCCCCGCCACCTCCCCTGATCCCAGCCCCCCCACCTCCCCTGATCCCAGCCCCCCCACCTCCGCTGATCCCCGCCCCCCCACCTCCCCTGATCCCAGCCCCCCCCACCTCTCCAGATCCCAGCCCCCCCACCTCCCCTGATCCCAGCCCCCCACCTCCCCTGATCCCAGCCCCCCCACCTCCCCTGATCCCAGCCCCCCACCTCTCCTGATCCCAGCCCCCCCAGCTTGGATCCAAATCCCTGACTGTGCAGCACCTTGGGATGTCTTCCGATGTAAAAGGCACTGCGTAAATATAATCTGTTGTTTGTTGTTGAACACACAACCTTCTGACTCAGAGGCGAAAGTGCTACCAACTGAGCTCGCCTGACATCTCTTCTCCTGCTCGGTTGAGACAGTATGTGGGCTGTTACCATACACAGCCATCGAGCCAGCATTATGTTTTTTCTCTCTCTGCCCAAGCCTCTGAATACAATCTCGCCTCCTTCCCACCCGCTTTTCAAACCAAATTGCCTTTTTAAAAAGAATTTAGGGACGTTTGTGTTTGTGGTGGAGAATTGCACATTCCAACCACCCTCTGGGCAAAGAATTCTTTCCAACCTCCCCTTTAATTCTTATTGCGAGCGTCTTAATTTTACTCCCCCGTTGTGGCTGACTGGCCGACAGCGGAAATAATCTCACCATTCATCCCAACGTAATCTTGCGTAATCGTAGAGACCTCTGTCGGTTCACCCCTTAATCTTGAGGTGTACTGTTCTTAAGTCTCTCTCCTTACGTGAACTCCTCTCATCTATGGTGATGTCTTCGTCCATACAATATCTGATGCTTATGCCGCAATACGGTGTTGGGGGGGTGAGGGGGGTGATTTGGCATTTCTTTTGAGACATCTTGATGATGTGATAAGGCGCTGCATCAAATGCAAGGATTATTATTGCAAAGTTTTCAGTGCCGATTTACTGCGCAATGGGAGTTGGCAGAGAGCTGATTATCCTTGTCTTCTCTTAAAGGATTCAACGGACACTCTCTATCTCAAGCGATCTGTCGGCACTTCCCACCGCAGCCCTCTCAAGACCAACCCAAGCATGCATTTGGAGATCAAAGTAGCTTTAAACTTCATCATCTCCTACCTGTACAACAAGCTTCCAAGGCGTCGGGCAGACCTATTTGGCGAGGAGTTGGAGCGGCTGCTCAAGCAGAAGTACGAGGGACACTGGTACCCCGAAAAGCCACTGAAAGGCTCCGGCTATAGGTGCCTGCATATCGGGGAGACAGTTGACCCCATCGTGGAACAGGCCGCCCGGAGGAGCGGGCTGGATATCGAAGACATTCGGGCCAATGTCCCTCAGGAGCTAAGCCTGTGGATCGACCCTTTCGAGGTGTCCTACCAGATTGGGGAGAAAAGTGCTGTCAAGGTCTTGTACATGGATGATCATGAGAGCAGCGCTGAGCTGGACAAGGAGATCAAGAGCAGCTTCAACCCTGAGGCTCAAGTCTTCACTCCCATCACCGAGCAAGGCGCCTCCTTGTCCAACTCGCCCTCCCCCTCCTTTGGTAACTCTGTGAGCCCCACCTTCATGCCCAGGTCCACCCAGCCCATCACTTTCACCACCGCCGCATTCGCTGCCACCAAGTTCGGCTCGACCAAGATGAAGACGGGGGGGCGTAGGATGACCCGCTCGCCCACCAACAACCTGATGAAGCAGAAGGGGCTGTCTAACTCCATGCACTCGCTGGTGCTGGGGGGGAACCAGATCCCACCCTCCTCGCTCTCGCCCAATGCCAAGGAGTTTGTGTACCCGGGCGGCTTGAGCCTGTACTTCGGCGGGGAAACCCCCTCCTTCTCAGGCCCAGCCCCCTTCCCCAGCGCCTTTGAAGTGCCCCCCCTCTACAGCAGCACCAACAGCCTGGCTGACAAGGGCCCCTTCGGCGAAGGGCTGGATTTCAACCTGAACGCCATGCAGTATCCCAACCAGCCATTTCAGCCCGTCGTGTTGGCCAACTAGACACTGACTGAGTGACAACGGACTGCTTTCTATACACACACATGCACACACGCACACGCACACACACACACACACACACACTACTCAAAGGAGGCCAGCATTAGTGTATTGTGGTGAAGAGCACTTTGGGAACACTATTAACCCCCATCTCCCCCAACACACACATCACCATCAACCCCCTTGCCCTTTATCTTTACTCCCGCTCCCCTATCTTTTCCTTCCCTTTATCCCCCTCTCTTCCGCGCCCCCCCCCCCGCCCCACCCCACACAGTCAACCGTTCTGTTGCATCTCCTAAGCTTCCATATTCCATTGAGTTTCCGCCTCCCCAATTGCATTGCCATTGCGTAAAGCTGTGTGTTACAATCGCTTGCCTCTCTCTTTCTCTCTCTCGTTCTCTCTCTCTCTCGCTCAAATCCTGCCACCCCCCACCCCCACCCCTCCAGGGAAGATGCCTTTTGAAGAGGGGGGGATAGTGAGGAGGGAAAAGGAGAGGAGAGCTCACAAAGCAGGATATTGAAAGGCTGCATATTAGAGTTTGTGGAGGGAGAGGGGAACCTCTTCCCTGGCACTCAGCTTTGGGGGGGTGGGTGGGGGATTCTCACGCCTGTATTTATTGGTGTTTAACTTGCCTTGTCGGCAGTGTGTAGAGGGGTGGGGGGCACAGTTAATCAGGGAGTGTGTACTCTGAATTGGTGAGTGCTAATGGGTGAGTGCTAAAGTCGATTATTTATTGGAGACTCTTAATATTTGTCCTCTTTACTTTTCTCTCTTTTCCGCCCCATCCTTTCTTCTATTTCTTCTCCACTCCTCCTCCTTCCCTCCCCCCCCCCCCCCCCCCGAACAAGTGTGCCTTTTTTACTGCTTAACCCGTTATTGCCCAGTACGTGGGGACTGAGCCCAGGGGACAAAAGTCGTGTCCTCTTTATGTTGAAGCAAACGCTTTGTGTTCAAGTGAGAGAGAGTGAGGTGAAGTGAATGGGTGAGGGTGGGGTGGAGGTAGAGTGAGGAATGGAGGTGGAGGGAGACGCAGAGGGAGGGACGAACAGAGGGTGGGTTAGGGGTGGAGTGAGAGATGAACGGTCAGGCAGAGGGAGGGAGAGACGGACAGAGGCAAAGTGAGGGTGGGGTGGAGGCAGAGTCATCGATGGAGGGTGGGGCGGTGGGCAGGTGAAGCAAGGGTTGGAGTAAGAGTGTAGGTAGACTGGTGGCAGTAAGTGATGGCGTGAGACGCACAAGATGTCAGATCATTTCTCTCTCCCCAACTCCCATGTTTTGGGGGAGATTGTTTTTTTTTGGGGGGGGAATGATGGAAAGGGACGGGGCGATGAGCGCAGTTGTTGGTGGGGGGGGGTGGGGCGCGGGTGTAGAGGTGGGAGTGAAAGAACAGTTCTTATTAAAGCGGAGTCCTGGAGGGAAGAGAATAGAACCTGCAAGACCACGCACACGCTCGCACACAGCAGAATTTGTCACTGAGGAATCCTAACCTTTCTCAGTGTCCCCCTGGCTTCGGAAGGGTTGCACTTATTTGGGGGGTGGGGAGGTGTTTTTCCCTGCCTCCCTCATTTCTCTCCCCCACCCCCCCCCCTCCCAACCGTGTGAACTTTCTGTTGCTATTCTTCAGAGCACAATGACAGGAGTTTGGAAAGATCCGATGGGAGTCAGTGGTGGGGGAGGCTGCAGTTTTCCAATCCCACTGTCGGGAGCCGTGCAGGACAGTTGGCGAAGGGTTTTGAGTGTGAAGTGAATGGACACACACACTACTTTTGACCGTGTCCAGTGTGTGATTCTGTGTGTGTGGGTGTGCGTGTGTATGTCTATGCCACCCACCTCTTCTGAATGCATTATATCCCGTTTTTTCTAAAAAAAAAACCACTAGAGCTCCAATTCCATCAGCCCACCAGCCAGTCTCCACCTCACGGAATTGTGTGTGGAATAAGCGATTTGTTTTCTTCTTAAATTTTTTCTATATAAGGAGAGAAAGAAGCTGTTTTTCCTCAGTGTCATTTTTCCCCTCGGGGGCAAGAGCAATGTCTCAGCTTGTCGTCGTATCTTGTCCTAAGTGATAGGACGGGTTATTCCTGTCCAGAGAGAAGTGAAGCCAGGTGGGGGGTGGGGAGGGGTGTGCGCGTGTGGATGGGGGGGGGCAGTCAGTGCTGCCTTTTATGAGGTTGGCTAGTGTGTTTTGTCCATGCAAGCCCTGTAGTGAATTGGCACTGCAAGCTTTCCCGCTGCTTGCCCAGCTAGGACCAACCTACCCCTCAGGGAGGCTTGTCACGGCTTTGGCTTTGCAGGGTTAACAGGAGCTGAGTGAGTGGGAGGTTTCCCTACAGCCCAGTGACTGGTCTGCCCTTCCCAAGTCCTGCCGATGGGTTGGGCTGTGCCGTCATCAGCAGCGAGTGCCCTGGAATACTGCGGAACGGAACTGGCTTAGGAACGGGAGGGACTAGGGCACAGAGGGCTGGCTCGATTCCGACAATCTGTTGGGTAACCTGTTACCTGTTCCAACTCCCAAGGAGACCCCACCAAAGGAGGACGCTCACCAGTTGGTTGAGCTGCACTGTGTGGGGTGTGAATGTGGGGAGGGGGCTGTGTTGGCTGGCTAGTCTGTGTGTCTCTTGGATTGCTGTTAGGAGTGCGTTGAGGAGGGAGAAGTTAATCAGAGGGGGTTCAAGCATAAGTTGAATATTTCTCGTCGGCGCCTAACTTCAGACAGAGTAAGGGGGGGGGGGATATTCCCGAGATCCAGAGAGGTTTTTTTTTCCGTGGGGTGGGGAGAGGAGAGGAGAGAGGAGCAGTTTGGAGTCTCCTTGGGTTGGAAAGAGGAGGTTCCTGGCACATGAACAGTCCCAGATTTGAGGGGCCTGGATATGTGCTAAATGGGCTGCTCTCAGCTGAGGTACCATCATTGTTCCCCACATTAGCCAGTTGGATGGGGCAAGGTGTGTGTATGTGAGGAAGGAGGGGACTGGGGTGGGGCTGGGGCTGGGTGGGGGCTGTCAGATGGGCAAACGTGTTAAGTGCACTTCCAGGGGTAACTTCTTTCCCCACTCTTTCCCTCCTTCTGCTCTCTTTCTCCCCCTCTCCCCGTCCTTCTCCTTTTTCGTACAATGTCTCCAAGCAGAATTGAGGCCACTGAACGGGAACCTCGAAGGACAGTCCTACACAGTGTATCTCGGAGCACTGACTCGGCGGGGGGGGGAGAGGGGGGTGGGCATTGACTTTAATTAACGTTCATGAATGTAGTCGCTGGGGATAAAGGTGGTCAGAGAAGGTGGTAAGATGCTCAGACGTAGGACAAGTCGTTCGAGGCGGGGGAGGGAGGGAGCCGGGGGAGAGAGCGAGGGGTTATCATTTAAATTTCTGCTCATTCGTTTTGTCTCCTGCCCTCCTCCGTGTTTTTCATCCACGCGATGCATTCTGCAAGATATTCAGCCTTTCTTTACTTGAACATTAATTACATTAGCTTGATTTCTCTTTCTCCTCCTCCCTTCCTCTCCCCTCCCAACACCCCCCCCCCCCCCCCCCCCCAACACAGAAATTGGCACTAACGAAACAAGATTCTATCTAACCACAAAAAAAAACTCCCATTGCCCGTTCCCCCTTCGTTCGGATAATTTTCCCCCCTTTGTAAAGTTTCAAAGTCTATATTTCTAATGTACATTTATTGTAATATCATTTCAGATTTCATAACGTGACAATTATTTTTTCAAAAAAAAAAAGAAATCGAAAACCCGAGACTTATTATTATTAGCAGTAAACCTTGCCTGTGCGTGCGAGAGTGTGCGAGCGAGCGAGCGAATGTGCGCGCAAGTGCGCGCGGGTGCGAGCGAGTGAGTGTGTTAAGTTGTGAGCGTGCGGTAAGAGGGAGAGAGAGAGAGAGAGAGAGAGAGGGAAAAAAAACTGTCTTGAGAGACTTATTTTGAAAATTATTGACGTTTTACTTTTTTCCAGAGGAAATAGGTTATTTTCTGTTAAGGAAAAAGAATACACAGATATGCAAACTATTCCGTTATCGCAAACTGGAAGAGACAAAAAAAAAAAAAACAAGAACGAGAGAGAGATCTCCCGATTTTCTTACTTGGAACATATATTGTGCAATACTTGCTTAATGCTGAGATGGGTTTTTTTTGCAGAATTGTTGTAGGTGAGGACCAGAGGTGTATAGTTTATAATGTTCCAGAATTTTTTAAGTTTGTATTAAAAGCATGAAAATTTAATTGGAGCTTCCTCCCTCGTGTGGTGTTTTGCAGGGATTTACGTGTCTGTCTGTTTCTCCCCCCCCACCCACCCCACCCCACCCCACCCGGCCGCCCACCGTCATTGATCTTCCCGTCAAATCTATACCGAGACCTGAATATTAATAATAATAATAATAATGTTTGTGTTTGATTTAGCACCTTATCGCGTCTTTGAGCCAATATAATTTTGCATTGTATTCTATTTGTATAAAGCCTTCGAGGCGATGGACAGTCAGGGATTTGGGGTTCGGGATCGGGCAGTGGGTGTGGGGGGGGTAAGGAGGGTGGGTGAAGGGCGCGGTCGATGAGGAGGGTTTTTGGACGCGCCTTGAAAGAAGGGAGGGAGGGAGGAGAAGAGAATGTGGGGTGAATGACTTTCATGCGTGAATTCCTTAGCTTCCTACGATGGCGCGACGCAAATGCCATTTTGTTGTTGTTGTTGTTGGGGTAGAATCTAATTCTAGATGCTGTGCTCTGCCTTTATTAGTAATAATCCTCGCACAGCTTCCAGACGTCCCAAAGCGCTTCACAGGATGCACCGCAAAGTGGATTGGACTTGCGTATTTCGTGAGCGAAACGCAGCTGCAGATGTGCACAGCGACGCTCCCCGTTAACACTGCATCGGAGTGTCAGCCTTGATCACTCGTGGGCCACCTGTGACCCGGGGGCCGGGAACGGCCCTTGGGGCCTCAGGAAGCGCCCTACCCCTCCAAACATTCGCACAAAGCTTCGCCCACCCTCCTACCCCCGCTCTCGACCCCTCCTGATCCCCCCCCCCCCCGCCACCACAGGTCCAAACGCCTGACTGTCCAGCGCCTTGTGACGTGAAAGGTGCTGTGTAAATATTGTTGAGCCCACAACCTTCTGACACAAATGTGAGAATGCAGCCCGGCTGGTTGACATTCTTGAGATTGCTTTGCCTTCAAAGATAGTCAGTCACCTGGAGCTTGGGGCAAAAATAACCCTAATCTTCATACCTCTCTCTCTCTCTCTCTCTCTCTCATTGGTAC